GCCTGCGCTCTGTGTCAGGAGTGTCTTGGAGGCAGGGGTGGCTGGGCACAGGGAAGGAACTTTGAAGGGGTTTGCCAGGGGAGTGGGCTGGGAGCCATAATTAGAGTCTGGGTACTGGGGAGAGAAGTGAGGCCCAAATCAGCACAGACCCCAGATCACCTGGGCCCTGGAGGCAGGTCCAGAACAAAGGCTGACAGGCCTCACACCCAAGCCCGTGAGGGTGGAAACAGCTCCGTGCTCTGCGGCAGGGCCAGGCCAGTGGCCAGGACTCTGATGTGGCAAGGAGAAGTCCTGGGGCTTAGAGAGGTGAGCTCAGAAGTGTTCCACTGCCCTGAATGGGTCTCTGGTGGTTTCGCATTCGGACAGATCGCCCTCCCAAATTGGGAGCTAGCACATCGGAAATGGAGACTGGCTGGTGTGTCCTCCACCACGTCTGTCTGGGTGCCAGGCACCCATTTGGTTCAGATTGGAGGTTCAAGAGGAGGGAGGATCCGTCAAATAGAGGAATCTGAGAATTTGTCTGTCCTGCCTCTGAGAGCTGTTCTAAGGGCAAAGCAGAGGGGTTTCTCATTTGGGTGCTTTGGAAAGTGTTGAGTCTCAGACATCGAGTTTAAATCAACCAGGTTTGGGAACTTTGGTTTCCTATTGGCACTACTCCAAGTTTTATTTTTTTAGCTATTTATTTTGGAAGGATTTTAGACTTAACCAAAAAAAGTTACAAAAATAGCACAGAGTTGCCTTATATCGTCACCCAGGTTCCCTTCATGTTAGCGCCCTGCGCCCTGTAGGGCAGTGTGTCAAAAGCCTGATTCAACTCTTAACTCAACTGTGGGCGTGACTCCGGTTTCACCCGTTTTCCCACCGATGCCCTTTTTCTGTTCCATGATCCCACCCAGGGTCCCCCGTCGTGTTGACTCATCACGTCTCCTTAGTCTCCTCTGATCTGTGGAGGACCCTTCATGATGGTTGACACTTCTGAAAAGCACACAGCAGTTATTTTGTAGAATGCTGTCAGTTTGAGAAACTGCTGCTTTTAATGGACAGGATTTTACATGGAAAAAAAAAAAGGATGGAGCGTGCAAATAAGCAAAATAACCCAAATGGTTAAGTAAGACATCTGCAAATTCTGATAAGAGTCCCTGTCACCTTAGACACACGGCTCTCAATATACTCAGTAGGAAAATCTTTAGAATCTTAGGGATTCCAAAAAAAACCCAATTTATTTCCAAATTGCTTAACATTATGTGCAAAATAATGAAAAACTGTCAGCTATCCACAGGTGAAAGAACACATGTGGGTTTCCGTCACAGGGAAGGAAGACTCAGTACATTCGCCATCAGTGTGGAAGCTGCTCAGAGCAGGTGTTGCCGGGCTCGTCAGGGCACCGCGGTTTCCAGGGTGGGCTGTGAGTCCAGCGTCCCAGCTCGAGTCTTTCTCTGCCACTCACTGTGTGTGCACGGGCCGGAGACTTGACCTCTCTGTGCCACGGTCGCTTGCTCACTGGGGAGGTGATCCCGGTAACCATCCCAGAGGGTTTGAAGGAAATAAGCCACGGTAGTGCTCAGGAAATGACAGCCACTGTTACTCTCAGATTTAGACTCATCTTAGCCGGGGTCACCTGAGAGCACTTTGTAGGATTCAAAGATTTTTTTTCAATTTAAAAGGAGAGGGGAAAAAAAATAACTTAGGGTTTCCCCCTGAGTCCCCAGCCGCCGTGTGCTGCACGTTGACAGCAGAGGCACCCCCGTGTCAGATCCCACCACTGGCACCGCGGCATCCTGAGAGCTGTCACAGGGCGTGGGGCATCAAGTGACCGCTGGTGCCAGCGAAGTGACCCACGCCGTCTATGGAAGGGCTGCGAGGCAGAGAGGGGTAAACATTTCCACGGTCTGTTCTCTGTTAAGCAGCTGCGGGGAGGGGGGGGGGTCACATGTGACAGACTTGGGGAGCTGTCAGAGGGGTCAAGCGGGAGGCAGGAGTGGGCAGTGGGGAGGGGCCCAGACGTTCCCTTACCAGATGTCAGCCAGCCCCTCACCCCCACTGCCCGCCAGCACTGGAGAGGGACCCCTGTTTGACGGAAGTCTCGTTTCTCTTGTGCTGGTTTCATCTCCTGCCAGCCCCGGTGTGCTGGTGCCCTCCTCTTAGGTCCTCAGCCTCGTTTGGCTTTCTGGAAACCTACCGAATGAGAGCTCGCTCCTTGTGCCCAGAGGGTCTGCCGCCCTGCACGGTTCCCCTCACTCTGGGTCCCCGTTGGCCCCCAGCTTCCTTGATGCATCACTTAGCTCAGGGTGGAGACTCAGGCATAAACGTTTGTGGAATAAACGAGTGAACTGACCAGCAGGCAGTTGGACGAGCAGACTCTGAAAGAGGCCCTGTCGAGGTGTGACCTGACTCTTGAATCGGGGTGCAAAGCTAATTTCAGCTGATTGCTTTCATTTCACACCTTCTTCCACCTGGTCATGTGAATGAGCTTTGAGACTTTAGCAAAGGAAGGGTTTGAAATTCTCAAGGTCCTTTTCAGGGTTAATATGTTTCTGGGAGAATTGATCTGAATTGTCATGAAGGCCCACAGAACGTAGGATTCCATAAATCAGGCAGAGGGACCTGATTATGCTGGCTTCTCCCCACACACAGAAGCCCAAGCAGGAGCGGGGAGGAGGGTCCCCGGGGGTCTAGGCCGTCCGAACTGCGAGTAGACTGTGAGGCCGAAGGCTCGCCTCCGGGCCGTCAGGCAGCAGGGCTGGTGCAGCACCATTGAGCTTTGTTCTGTTCTCTGAGCTGGTCCCAGACAGGCTGGCCCAACATGCGTGTCAATTAGGAGATCATTGCCCTTGCTATAAGGTGCCAGGGTCCTTACTCAAGTGTTTACATGAGCTGCACACGACAGTTACAGGACTAAAGCAAACGTGTGAACAGAACTGCTAAAGGAGCATCTTTCAGTGCCCACCCGTTTGTCTTCTGTGGTCATTGGGCCAGGCACGTACACCTGAGGGCTCAAAGCTGTGACTCACAGATGCCTGTCCATGTTACCTCCTGGGGCTCAGGAAACGTGAGGTGCCCTCCTAGTGCAGCCTGGACTTCTTCCGGCAGAATTTTGCATCTTGGCTAAGAGGTCTCAGCAGTCCTTGTCAAGGATGAGAAATATTTCATCTTGTTTTCTGCCATTAAAATTGTTCTCTTTCTTTAACAAACACTGGAAGGAGTGTTTAAGGAACATAAAGGGTATTACGAACTAGTATTTTTATTGCTGCCCCATAGAACGAATTCCATTACTCAGTTCAATGCAATCTGCCTCCAGCCACGGCTCTGGAGCCAGACGTTTTGTCTGGATGAGTTAGAGACTCAGCCTGGAGCCCAGGGGGCCCGGGTGCGGGCGGGTGAGCTCGTGCAGCAGCAGCTGTAGACGGCCGGGTGGCTCTGGGACCCAGAGCTCGGCTTGGAAATACAGTAGTGTGCGGTGGCATGGTCTGGGGGTACCCCTCCCCACAGAGCTCTGTGCCCCTGTAAAAACCCACGCTTACTGCCTGGGAATCTTCTCCAAGAACGTCCTCAAAGAGTTATAGCACTGAGCACAAAGTAGGTTCCCCATGAAGTATGTGTTGGTTGACCGCCTGATGGATTAGGTGTTGAACCCTTTAAAACTGCTGATTCCTGGGAGAGAAGAATGTATTTATTAAGAGACATTAGCCACTTTTATTCCGCCACAGGCATGGCGTTTTCAGATCCTTTACTCATGGCCTAAGTGGGGTTCTGCCCAGGGGAGGCATTGAATATGGGTGTTGCCTGCAGACACACGGGGTGGGGCCCTCGCCTCTGGGGAGGCCTCAGGGGACACAGGCCCCCTTGTCGTAGACCTGGTGTGGGGAACTGGGTCTGGCAAGGAAGGTGGGAAATCACCAAGGGGGAGCTTTGCTTTCTCCCCATTCTGATCCAGGGCCTTCCCTGGTGATCTCAGGGACTCCAGCTGTTTGAGGATTTAGGGTGGATGGCAGATCTAGAATACATTTCTTCTGAAGATAGAACAAATACCCAGAACTCTGTATGGCTGTCATGCAGAGTAGGCCAAACGCAATTTATCAGACAAGGAAAAAGTAATTAGGCAGCCTTTCAAGTGAAAGGACCAGTCTTGGAAGGGGCAGCTGCCTCACCATTCAGCCTTATCCAGCCTGTATTTTGACACTGAAATTGATCGACGCTAAACAATGGAAAACCCATAATGTCGGGCTGCGCATAAGCCAATTCCAAGTCAGTTAAACATGAGTGTTCGTCCAGCTGCCAGCTGTAAACCTCAGGGGGGTGGCTGGTCCTCCTTGAGCCTTGTGTGTTTCACAGAGAACATCCACCAAGTCACCGCAGACGTTTGGCGGTTTGCTCCTTGGCCTCCCGTCCACAAGGGGTCACCGGTTATTCTCTGTAGAGGCCCTCTGATGACTTAAGACAAAGACCCCAGTGCTTGTGGAGAGCTCACCCCGACGGCTCCCCCTTGCACTGGGCTCTGTTAACGCCTTGTTCGGTGGGGCCACGGGCTCTTTGGCATGGCCCTGCAGATCTGTGGGATTCTCTTACCTAATTTGCATCGCTGGCGCCTGCATTTTCCTGTGCTCTGTAGTTCCTTTTCCAGCTCTGATCCACCCCGTAGGCTGAGCTCTCAACCCGCCACTTGCATTTTGCAATTTGCACCATTTCTCAGACACCTCGTAAATGTGGACCTCTCCTCCCTTCTCCCCTCTTACGAGGCCCCCTCTCTACCTGGCTCTCCAGGTCGGCACCTTGTCATCCTCAGGTCAGCCTCTTGCAGCTCCTAGATTTTTCCTGCCCTGGCCACCGGCCAGCCAGCGCGCGTCAGCAGGAGCAGGACAGGGCCAGGTGTCCGGGGGCGCTGTGCCTGCTCCGGGAGGCCTCGGGGCAGGGGGGCCCGTGGACAGACTGCCAGATGCCTGGCTGCTAACACCGCCTTCTCTTCTCACCCCTTTGACTCTGATGTGCTGGCACCACTGCAGTGCGGAGGACCCTGAAGAGCGGCCTGACTCCGGAGGAAGCCCGGGCCCTGGGCCTGGTGGGCACCTCGGAGCTGCAGCTGTGACCCCCGGGTGCCTGAGGCGTGTGCCCACCTGGACTGCAAGCTCCTGCTGGAAGGAACCCCTCCGGTGGGAGGTGAGGAGACTCTGCATGAACACCTGAGGTTCTGAAAGTCACGCCCGTGTCTGGGTGTCACCATGTGGCTGGTGTCACCATGTGGCTGGTGTCACCACATGGCTGGTGTCGCTTGCTGGGCCCTGACATGGACCTTGGAGTCTCCTTCATGCCCTTTCTTCATCGTGTCAGCTGTGTTTCTCTTGTTTCCTTGACACCTGGTTTAGTAGTTCCAAAGCGTGACACCTTTTCTGTGCAGGGAACAGCCCCTTTAAGGAGCAGGTCACTTCTGTCACAGCTACTGTGGTCATGAGGCAGTTTGTTTACGTTCACAGACGGGGGCTCTCCACAACACCAAACTATCCAGATGTAAACTCCCAAATTGTACACAAAGGAAAGCACAGATTGTTTACCAGTTGTGGATTTTAGATGTACTAAATGTTTATACAAATTCATAAATGTACACCATATTTCAGATACTAAATAAACAGAGTTTAATGCCGTAACTGAAACTTTCATTCTCCTGGTGTAGGACCTGAAACAGCCCCACAGGCTCGCCTCCCGAATCAGCAAAACCTCTTCTCGGGTTCATCAGGACCCTGGCTCGGAATGGCCTCCAGGTCCTTTGGCTTTCCTTTTTTTTTTTTTTGGTTAATAGATGAGAAGCCCTGACTGTGCTCTTTGTAATTCCTGATTAATTAGGCATCCGGCTGTGTGGCAGGGCACCTTAGGAATAACCCCATGGATATCGCCCTCCCCACATGCTTCGTCTTGCTCCTTGTGATGCTGAAGCTACAGTTACAGTGGCATTTTAAAAACTGGAACTCTGCTGTAGCTCACTCACTTGCCTCTTATGTAAAAATTCTTTTTTCCCCCCCAAATTGACTAAGTCACGGAAACAAAGTGGAATTGTGAAGTTTTGCCTACAGAGAACTTCAGAATGGCAGGTGCGGCCCTTGGCCCTCAGATGCAGGTCAGCAGAAGCTCGGGTGTCCCGAGCGGAAGGCGCCCTGGAGGGTGGCGGCAGCCGCAGGGCCGCGCCGCGGGGACGGATGCCCGGGTGGTGGCCTCAGCCCAGTGGCACAGCTCCCCGGGAAGAAGCCCTGCCTCGAAAAACAGGGAAAGCTCAACCCCTGCAGCAGGTGTGGGGCGGGGGGGGGTGTCAAAAGGGCATCAGGTCACCAAGTCTGTCTCTGCCTTCCTTTCAGAACCTCTGTGTTCTCTGCATTCCGGAATCTGGGTGGATGTGATTTAGAGACAGGATGCAGGCATGTAGTCTGAAGAGCCAAAGATAATATATTCCCCCCCCTCTCCGCCTCCCTTCTGTGTCACCACTCACTGGGAGACAGGCAGCGCCTTCAAACAGGCATTTGTCAAATAATACATGATGTGAGCACCCGGCAGATCCTGGAGCCTGGAAGAGTTAGGTCTGTATGTTATAGACAATTGAGTTTATTTAATCACTTTATTCAAAAGGGTGCACAGGATATTAACATTTTTTTCCTAAATAACATGTGTAGTAGCCCGCACGTGGTTTAGTGGTTTGTGAGAGACTCGGACTGAATACAACGTGGAATATCTGTATCACTGGGGATCGGGATGTGCAAATAAAAGGAAGATGCGTTTTTTCCACACCAAATGGTGAACAGATACTTTGATGCTCTTCCAGGGGCCCCCTGGTGTTCTGCTGAGACTTACTGCTTTAGAATAAAAGGTCACATTTGGAAGGAAGTGACTGAGTAAATCTAATGTTAATTTTATTTTAGGGATTAAAAAAATTCTCCGAGGAAGCAAACAAGGTCAATATATTTCTTGGTTACATGTAGGTAAAGGGTCTCTTTGTATTGAGGATTGGTTTAGTGGTTTTTGGTGAATCTGAAGGATTTTTTTTCTGTTGCTCATTTCCTCTCTCCTTGTCGCTGCTCATTCTGGGTGCCTCTGTTAGTGTTTTTGTTAATTGAGGAAGATAAATTTCTCTAAGAGATCTTTGAGAAGCCATCAAAGTGAATGGCGCCTCACACTTGTGAGATGCTGTCGCTAACTGTGCTGGTCATCACCATAGTATCCTCATGCCTAATTCTTAGTTCTGGTTGAAATGACAAAACTGCTGGTCGAGAAAGGCAAATACTTTCCTGTTAAAGATGCCTGGGTTTTGGTTTCTTTGGAGTCTTAAGGTTTTTTTTTTTCCTTTCTATTTAAAAAATAACCTCCTGAGTGATTTTTAGGGATGGAGAGGAGGGTGCACAGGGCCTCGGAGGGCTGGAGACTCAGTTTGGTCTTCTCCCAAGTCCATCACAACACAGCACGTGGAGGAGGAGCAGGGGCTGGGAGTCAGGAGACCTGGTTGCCAGGCTTTTAGCAGCCTCGTCGTCATCCACAGCTCCCACGTCCACCACCTGTCCTCATGGCCCCTGACGGCCACTGTAGACGCCTGAATGATGTCACCCAAAGGTATCAAGTCCAAATCACCGGAACCCGTGAGTGTGACTTTATAAGGAGGGGTCATTGCGGATGTGAATATATTAAGGATCTAGACTTGGGGAGGCTATCCTGGATTATCTAACTGTCCCCTAAAGCCAATCATAAGTGTTCTTATAAGACAGAAGCAGAGGGAGATTTGATATACGCAAAAGAAGAGGTGTTGGGAAGACAGAGACAGGGATTGGAGTGATGTGGCCACAAGCCAAGGAATGCCTGTAGCCACCAGAAACTGGGAAGAGGCAAGGAACAAACTCCCTGTTAGAGTCTCTGCAGAGAGCATGGCCCCTTGAAACTGATATTGAACTTGTGGTGTCTCAAGCTATAGGAGCGTAAGTTTCTGTTGTTTTAAGCCACTAAGTTTTGGTAATTTGTTACGGCAGCCGTATAGAATTAATACAACCACTGATCACAGATGTGCACTGAGGGCTTGTTATGGAGGTGGCCCTGTGCCAGGGGCTGGGGTTCAGCTGGGAAAGAGGAGTCATGACCCACCCCCTACTCGCACGAAGGGGGCTCACCTGGGGCCATGAGAGGTAGTCATCAATGGGAGGTACAATTTAGTTCAGTCACCCACTCTGCAGCTGTTTATGCATTCTACCAGATCGATACAAATAAAAACACCTAGTTGCCTAGGATAAGGGATGAAATGTCTTTGCAGCTGCAGTGAACGTATGCAATATTAAAATGCCCCATCGATTCTGGCAGAGAAGGCAGTCTTCGACGGACTCATCAGTTTGGTCTGCAGTCCTGGAGGTCTGGTTGTGCATGTGGTGGCGGCACTGTCAGAACTCCTTTTGTGATAACCACGCACCCGTTTCACATCAATAATTAATAACTGGCCGTCCATCCGCCGACTCACCCATCCATCTACCCATCTGTCCGTCTATATCCAGCACAAGTAGGAAAGGTCCAGAAGCTCAAAAGCATCTTTTGTGACTTTATGAAGGAGTGATTCCCACTCTGATTGGTGAAGGGATATGGTGAGAGGCCATTCAGACTGCTGATTATCAGCTGAGGGAGGGCCGAGCCAAAATTTATGTTCTCCTGCTGAGCACTATCTAATTGTTGTCTTTAAAAATAATTTTTGCTTAAGAAGATTCACCCTTAGAAGTGCAAATTTGTGACTTGGTGAATTTGTAGTTCGAACATCATTTCAGCTATCGACATAGTGGAAATTGTTCCTAACTACTGGATTAGTGATGATTTGTTTCCAGCATGTTTTCCCATTAAAAGTAGAGCATTATGTGTACAGGAAGCTGCACAACTAGAAGGAACACCTGATGATGAAAAATAGCACATTCTGCCCGGGACGCCGCAGGCCCCTTGTGCAGGATCGGCGTGTGCCGGACCACTGCCCCTTCAGAGCTTGATGCGGCAGCTTCCTCGCTTGTGGCCGGTGGGGCAGGAAGAGGTCTGCATGCCAGGTCTCCTGTTTGCAGAGACTCAGACACACATCCTCATCTCCCATGGGAGGGGCTCGTCGGTCAGTTTCTATTTAACACATTTGCTTCTATTTTAATATAATTTGTAAGTTATCTGATTCAGGTGAAAACAGGAAGAAATTGGTCAAATATCTTTCAATACTCCAGGGGATGGCCAAAATGATGGAAGAGGAAGACCCTGAGCTCACCACCCGCCATGGGCACACCAAAGTTACAACTATTTAGAGGGCAACTATTGATGAGAATAACAGGAAAGATCTACACCAGGAACACGGTGTTGTAGGCCCATTACACTGCAAAACAAGCGAACCCAACAGACAAAGAGATCAGATTTGTGGTTACCAGAGACGGTGAGTAGGGGAAGGGGGAACTGGATGAAGGCAGTCAAAAGGCACAAACTTCCAGTTAGAAGATAAATTAGTAGGGATGTACAGAATAAATGAGCACTTTGTTTTTCATGAAATTTGTTAAAAGAGTAAATCTTGAGCGTTCTCATCACAAGAAAACAAAACTTTTTTCTAGTTCTCTAATTTCCCATCTATATGAGATGATAGATGTTTGCTAAACGTATTGTGGTCATCATTTCATGATGTATTTAAGTCAAATCATTAGGCTGTACACCTTGAATGTAAATATACAGGGCTGTATGTCGACTATATCTCAATAAACCTGGAAGAAAAATAAAAGATACTCCACAGCCAGCCAGCACAGCATGTTAGAGACAGGGCATTAAATCCACCACCAGGTAGGCAGAGCACCTTCTGTTCCTGTGTGTCAGCAGCGGGTTTTCTTGGACTGTGAGAGGTCCCTGCAGTACTTGGACGATTCAGCTGGCTTAGCTAAGCAGAGGCTCTGGCTTTTGCTCTTTCAGAACATAAACCAGAAAGCTCATTTTCCTTCAGAGAGAATCCTTGCCCATAATGGCATCTGTTTAGAAATGCTTTTAACCTTGCACTGCTCTCTGGGAGGGGGTTCCGCTGGGGGATGGCCAGATTCTTCTGGGCAGGGCAGTGGGCAAGGAAATGGAAGCAGTCACCCTTTCCAAAAACACATTTGCACAGGGTAGCCAATGGAATAATTATATTTTTTTTAAACCCCAAGTTTCAAGTAAGGATTTAAGATGTAGCTATACGGAAAGAGATGGTTGCCTGGGGGAACTTTTGTAGCTGCTCCATCCAGTCCCTGGAAAAAAAAAGTGTCCTTGTGGTATGCTGATTGAGACAAGGTCATTTTGACTGGAACTCAGCACACAGCAGCTGGTGGTAGACCTGGCTACATAATTAGAGCCATGCAGTCAGCATCAGTGCGTTTCTTGGCTCAGAAGATGGGACATTCAGACTGGAAGTGACGAGGGAATAAAGGAATCTGTTCCCAGCACAACCCATCCTGAGAAGTGCAGTCTCAATGGAAGGAAATGGGTTCTAGTGTCGCAGTCCATCTGGAAGTGGTGTGAAGAAAAAACTTGTCTCTCTTTGGAAGAAAAACTTGTCCTGAAATTCGTAAAGGCTGTCGTAATCCAAACAATTTCCTAAATCAGCATGTGTAGATAGGAGTTCACCCTTGGGTTAAATTAAACTTTACAA